GCTGTTTTCCGAAGAATCGGAGAAATTTACCGAAGAAATTTAAATTTATTTTCCTTATACAATAATTGGCTATCGATGCAGAATAGAATTCATCGAAAATATAACCGAATACACACCTGAAACGGATGATAGGATCTGAAAAATGCTCACACTGTTTACAGACTAACATAGACAACATACATAACAAACAACATACAGACAACATACATATCATGACATAGCCGCAATTATTTACATCTATGATAAACAAAAGTATAAAACTCTGGACACCAACAACTTTTATATCTAAAGCGACAGATTAAAGCTGCTGAACGTGAGTGAGCAGTGAGCGTGAGCTGAATAAGTAACAACTGCCATAAGCGGAGGCCTGATGAACAGCTAACAATACCCGAAAAGCAAAGCGAATATTCAATGATCGACAATCTACAACAACAAACAGCAAGGCAAAAGCCGGGTGACTACCTAACGAAATGCGAAGTAAAAGCAACACTAGCAAAGCAACACGAAGAATTTCTTATTATTGAGCACCGCTGTCATCGCAAGTACTACCTTCCGTTGAATCGCGAAGTGCAGGAGCTGCAGATTGTATCCAGGACTCGACGTTGCCGAGGAAGATTCTCGAGAGATGAAGCGTTTTTTCGACCCTCGCCTCTCTTGATTCCATGTCAGCGTGATCTGGAACGAAAAAGAGTTCAATGCAAAAGCAGAGTATATAGCGGATCGCAACTAAAAAACGCACGTACGACGAATTCCGCACGATCATCGCGGCTCCAGGAGACTAATATGCAGTGCAAGACGAGGAAATCAACGAAGGTGAGTAATATAAAAAGAACAAGAACGTTCTGCTTAAGAAACTTCAGAAGAAACGCTTCAACAAACATTGGTATTGAACGCGAATACCTGTTGAGTCAAATATGTCACTTGAATGCAATTCAATATAACATAGACATATACATACATAATATATATGTAAAAAAATTGCTTAATAAAAACGAAAGGGAAAGCGAGCAACTTGAAGGGGAGTTGAAAGGAGGCCCCTTGAAACTTCCAAAACGAACTCTTTAACCTAACGAATGGAGAGTATAACTCTGTTCTGAAAGCACTTGCCATTGGAGAGAATGCAAAAGTAGTTTTAAACTTGTTGCTGACAATGGCAGTTCTCATCTTCAATGGATGCGCTAGCCTGCAGTAGACAAAGATGTTCTCGCCACAAGGCTTTCGATATCACTTCGTTTTTTGGATACCATCCAAGAATTTATTCTGAACGGCGAAGAAGGAGAGCAAACTCTCTGCAGTTCTTCCATTGTGAACCTCATAGGTTCAGACTGGCCATTAAGATTTTCAAAACAGGTGTTCATCTCAGTTCGAGAGGAGCACGCGATAAAATAGTACCGGCAGTGAATTACTGGTCTTTGTTCCAAGACGGCAATTTCAACACTTGACATGAGCGCTATGGCCAGCACCGATGCAAGCCCTGCCCCATACCTAGTCCTCTCACTTGTTTGTAGTATTCACCCGGCCATCTAAGGACGCTGCACTTTCAGTTTCCGTCGAGCAGCAACATAATCTGCTGGATAGTGAGGTCATGGAAACTCAGATCAGCGTGATGCTCAATTAGGTTTTCTAGGATTGCTTGCACTGCACATTCCGTGGGTACCTTTGTGTATGATGAAGCCACCACAAATGACTCCGTCACATTTGTAACTAACCTGGCTTCACGTGGTATTCTAATGTTGGAAACCTGAGACAAACCGTAACAGTTGTTCATTGTTAAATATCCAATCAATGCTATCCGTGGGGCCACCAGCACAACTTGTATAACCAAACTAACTGGAATCGAAAGTATCCACAACTCACTAAAAGTCGATATCAAGGGAAATGCGCGACCAGCGGCGGGGTGTGACATTCGGACGACTTTAATTATGAGGTTTCACCCTGGGGAGTTCTCTACAATAGTCTCTGACCCGGCCTCTGCATTCCAGCACATATAAAAACGCCGGTATGTTCTTCTTCAATTCGAAAAGGTACTCTATGAAACACAGATATATATTCGACTTATAGATTTCGAAGAAGACAATTTCGCCGAAGTGTGAATGAAACTTTCTTAACAGTCTCGGAGGCTAAGTCAACCCACAACCGCAAACTTACGAGGATCATGCCGAGATTAATTGGAATTCGATCATGGAATATTCTCTACAAAAGAGTATCAGAACTTGGAGAAAGTGTGGCTAGAGCCTGTACAGGAAATGTTAGGTGTTGATTAGACAATGTCAAAATAACCAAAGTGAGCGGCCTTGCATTGGGTTGGCCGGGTTAGAATTGAAAACTCACAACGCTGTTAAAAAAACCTCTAGGATACAGAAAAAGCATTTAAAAGAATATAGGAGAAATCTGGTCGAACACTCGAAGTGGGCAAGATCGCACTAGAAAGGGCGATACTGAGATTAAAAGTTCATGACCCTGTTTGGAAGAGCTCTAGAATGCAGAGAAAGGATGCTCATAGCTTATCGAAAAATGGTATCAAATGTCCAAAGTGAACGTTGTTTGTTTCGGGGTGGACGGCAGTAAGCTCAATGTTCATGCCGCCATGCAAAAATGTTCTACAACTCGAGAAAAAGTGAACAGAGGTCATCGGAGAAATGTCGTCGTATCTCCAGAATAGTTGAGGTTTGCACAGGGGCTAAGTTTAAAAATTCATAACGATGTGAGAAGGTCCTAAAATGCATAGAAAGGATGTTCGGAGCTTATAGAAGAATTGGCGTCAAATCTTCAGAAAGGGATGTGTTTCGCACAGCGATGGGTGCTATCGAAGCCAAGAATTAACGACTCTATTCAAAAAAGTTCTGGAGCGCTTTGAATGTAGTTAAAGTTTATAGAAGTGTCCTTACTACATATGATCCTTTCAACGTCATCAGCAACATTATAAGTCCTCTGTTGCTGCAAGGAATTTATACTCAAAAGCAAAGACATCCCTCTCACGTATCACGCTGAATGTCTATTGGTTTGTCTCTCTGTCTTTTTGTCTCTTGATCTGTTCAGTACCACTTTTGATGGCCCCCTTCTGAAATTGAATCGGAGTAGATCAGCGACATGGAACAAGTGTGAGGGAGGTGAAACTACTGTATAAAGCTTGCCTGAGCTGGCCTCCACTTACGGACGGTGTGCGCTAAGAGTGGGTTAAACGGAAACACATAGTTCCAGTTCCCGTGAACATGGAGGCATTCGACTTTGGTAGGACTACAGGGGTTAGGATGTGCTCACTCGAGTCGGGCATGCGGCGAAACTAATAGTAGATGACAGGACGAGACTTCGTTCACTGGAGATGAGGCTTGACAAAAATTGCTTCCTGAAGCTGAGGCGTTCACATTTGGAAGTGATACTGACTTCAAAAGCCTTCCATATTATGTACCGTCGTCTCGTAGCTTTGCTCTCTTTACACAGGAGGATTCACATATGGTAAGGATTGAGCTGTGAGGATGTCTGCTTATGAATTGTTTACACCTATCGCTTGTGTAATTGGCTGACCAATGGTCGAATTGAGCATTTTGTCTTACAGCGTTACCAGAAAAGTTGATGGGATGTTGCGGGAATATAGCTGTAAACGGAGCCATCGGTAATGACACCGGGTTTTGACCAGGTTCAATTTGCACCACTCGCTATGGAGGTGCTTTTCATCACTCATTTTTCTGAGAGAAAATTAGAAGGAGTAGTGATTGGATAGAACTATGGTTGTGTCGGTGTATGTTTAGATGTCGTGTTTCGGTGCGTGTGCTCCGGTATATCTTTGACTAGGAGCTTGTGCCACCTATTCCCGTAGACCTAGAGCTTTCAAATTCGGTTACAAGCGGCAGAATGGAAACATTGACCGTAGACGGTCCCCAAGAGAGGCAGAGCGTGCACGAAAATTGATGAGTTGGACATGGATTGCTCAAATTCCATGGGGTATAGGTGACAGTGCAGGTAGGCTGATAGTAGGTGACACGGCTCATATCGAAAGAAGAAGGGATGATCCAGCTGCCTATACACTCATGAGTTGAGCCCACGCAAACCCCGTACTATATAGAACCCTACGAGTCCACACCTAATACCTGTCATTAATAATCCCACTTTGAACCTGCCACTGATTATCGCTACTTAATTTCCTTATTAGCTCTAAAAGCACAAGGATCACGAAAGCCTCGCCCCCTCCATACCTGGCATCAATTATCCAACCTTGACACCTGCCATTGGTAATCCCAGCTTACCACCTGAATCCTTTACGAATTTCAACGCTCTAGCTCTCAGAACACAATTTCCACGCAAGCCTCGTCCACAGTGGGCGAAGTTTGCAAATGACACCTGTAATTATCAATCCGAACTCGGCACCTGAAATTGGTAATATCGGCTCGCCACCTGGATCCTTGGAGAAAGTTAACGCTCTAGATTTCAGAACGCAATTTCCACACAAGGCCCGCTCCCAGTGGGCGGAGCTTGCACCTGCCACCTCTGATTAATTATCACACCTCGACATCTGTCATTGATAATCCCAACTCGGCACCTACCATTACTCAGTACTATCCTACCTCTTTTATTCTAGCCTTGCCAGCCTTTTTTCCAATATGAATGACAGTTGTTAAGCTGATGTATAGTTTTATTATTGTTTCTTTCGGCTGTCGAACTTCTTTGAGGGTTAGTTATGTTCACTTTCAATAACTAGAATCTTCGAACTATTTTTTTAAAACCTTTTTGTATAAATAAGAAAATCGAAGACTTCTTCCCGTAGTGTTAGAATCAACCTCTCCGTATCGTTAAAGCATTTCATTGCCCCCGCGCTTCAATAAAAATTTTCAGGCAAATTCAACATTGAAAAAGGAATCAAAGAAAAGAGAATATCAACTATGATTTATTATTTTTAATTATTACACATCAGTTCCGTGAAGAACATTCCTTCAACATTTTCATTATCTAAGTGAACATGTGTGACAGTTCTTACTTTTTCACTATGCAAACAAAACACCCGA